CCTTAAAGCTGGAGGATTTTTTATGAAGCCCTGGGTCTACTCTAGTCAAAGTGGGAGGCAGGAGTCAAGAGAAGTTAACACGGAGGTAAAGACCATGATCTTGCCAGCTCCTGATTAGCCACAAAGAAGGTCAACTTGTACCTCAGAAAGTTCGTTCTGTCGGGGACCTAGTGTTATGGGATGGACCACTTGGCAAGACGATTGGAGGCACACATCCGGACCTATTTGAAGAAGTTACCTTAATTGCCCATACATCAGAAACACACTTTGAAGCCCTGGGTCTACTCTAGTCAAAGTGGGAGGCAGGAGTCAAGAGAAGTTAACACGGAGGTAAAGACCATGATCTTGCCAGCTGTATCTCTTTAGGTCTTGTAAGGTCTTTCAAGGAGACATCTGGAAAAATACTCTGAAACTTTGTGGCAGGGACATGTCTATGAACTTCTGCAATCTTGTCAAGCCCATAGCAGATCAGTTGATGTGATTTGAGGGTCCCTTTTGGTGTATTGACACGTATCTTAAGGAGATAGCGCTTCGTTTCAACAGACACCTGCATCCCTCCAACACCATGGACCACAAGCGTTACATCTTCACTTCTAAGTTTCAACTTACTTGCAGCTTTATGAGTAATGTAGTTCGTATCTGATGCCAGGTCAATGAGGGTTCCAATTCTTTGTCCATCATTGGCTGTGACATTAAGAATCATCAGGATAACTGGATACTCATTTAAGCCATTCTCCTCTAGAAGGCCTGTCTTAGTAACAGTGGAGTTGTGTACCCTTGACACAACATTGCAGAAGGCATCCTTACATTGCTTAGCCAGCTCAGGTGGGAGTTTTGAAAGAAACTCTTCTTGGGCTTCAGTATGTCTTTTGCCCTCCGCTTTCTCTGAACCAGATCTAGGTGTTCTTTGGGACTGTGGTCTAGCGAGTAAACAAAGAAGAAAGTGGTGTTTGTCTTTACACTCTGGGTTCTTGCACAGGTAGTCAGTTTTCTTACAGTAATCACCATTATGGATTTCAAGGCATCTCTTGCAGGCACCGAGCTGCTGTACTATATCCCTCTTCTCTGATGGCTTTAGATTGATTCTAAAGGTTCTGCAGAAATACAGTTTCTTCCTGTGCTTTGGATCACCACAAACAATGCAGCCTGATATGTCACTGCTGTGCTTGGTTGTCTTGGTTCTGGCACATTTTAAGAACTTGGATTTCTCTCTGATTGGTTCAACGAGATCTTTCAGTTGATCTAGTTGTTCATATATGGATTCTTGTGATCTAAGGAACACCATAAGCTTGTCAAAGTAATTCTGGTGACTAGTGTTGTCTTTCTCAGTTGCATTATAGGTGAGCCAGTCTTTCTTTAAAGTTTCTGGAAGCTTACTTTCTATGGATTTAGTCACCAGTGGATTCTTTATGGCATCTACATTTCCTAGCTCATTTAAGTCACTAAGAGCCTTCTCCAAAGTTTGGATGAGTTCTATTATTCGTCTAGGTTGACCATTTCTCACTGGTGGAATTGCTTGTAATTCTTCAATAATCTCTAGAGCAATGGTAGCTTTGTTCCCAAAACGATTGTCCAGAACTCTGAAGATCTCATCTGATGAATTGTATGATGACAGGCGTAAATCCTTAGCCACTTTCTCATCAATACTATCAAGCAATTGAAACTTCTTTACTTCTTTCGAGCCAGATGGTTCACCTTGCTTCTGGAGAGCCTCCCATTCTTTTCTCCATCTGTAATAGTCTCGTTTATTTCCACAAAACTTTGGTAAAGCTGTGGCTTTCAGTTTTATTGCAGCTGCTGGAGGTAGACTGTAGACTAAGGCTTTTTCCTCTCTTGTGTCCTTCTTACTTGCTGCTTCAATGAGGACAGCCTTTTGGGATATCAGCCTAGGGAGGCACACCTCTAGCTCCCTTACACGATAATTAAAATCCTTTTCCTCGGCAGGTGGGGCCCAACGGTTCCAATTTTGGCTTGCTTCCTTTGCTTTCTGGATCAATTTCTCCAAATGGGTGAGCATAAACTCGTATGCCTCCAGAGTTGTGTCTGGCCCGATGGATGAAACATTCTTACACTCATTCTCTGCAACTTGTAGAGCCAGGGACAGTTCCTTCTCTCCATATGTGGCCCACATTGTCTCTCGGATAAGGAGTTTAGCTTCTTTAAGCTTTTGTTCACATTCTTTCTCCGTCTTCTCTATGTCAGCTTTCTGAAGATTACTCAGCTCCTCAGCTGCAGTTGCTTTGCACTCAGCCATATAGGCAGCCTCCACATCCTCATTTGCCTCCATAACTTTGGAGCTCTCTAGTGTAAGCTTCTTGTAGTTCTCCTCCAATTCCTCTTTAGACATCTCCATGTAGGTCCTCATAATGTTGTTTGCAAAACGGGAGAAAAGTCTTTTAACTATTGTCCTCTCTGCTTTGAGGTCATCAAGGGATTTTAATTCAGCCATTTTCCTCCTTTGGAAGACAGCAGATTTCAGTCTCTGGTTGCAGAATGGAATCTCCTCTGGTTGGAGCGGTTTTTCACTGTCAAGTGTCTTATAATTTCATGGCTTCCTACACTTGAAAAGGAGGACTTGAAGACATCAGGAATTCACTCAGTCTTTTTATTTTCACCAATGAGTGAGAACCAATAAACAGAACAGAGCAGGTGAAAAACCGGTAGTCCTTTTAAGTCCTTTCCCATGAAATGCTGCTTTGGAGGCTGTGTTTGCCTTCCTCAGCTCTGTTGCAAAACCAGTAAAGCTGTTTGTGGATTCCTTATTACCTGAGTTGAGGGTGCTGCTGATTGGGCCAGATTTCTTTCACCTGCTGAGAAGTGCTGCAGAGTGGCACACTGAAATGTGTGTGTGTGTGTGTGTATGTGCACACACAAATGTCTGTTCATGCACCTCCATCTGAACTAATGAGCAGATCTGCGCAACAATGACCATCATCAATAAGTCAATATTAGTAAGCCTCATGTTTTCACCCAGAATAAGGAAACATTTCATATTTGTTTGACATTGACAGGTTGGGTTCTTTTGTGATCTTGTTGCTTTATCCATGCAGATAGAATTTGACTGATGATTTAAAAAAAAACCTCAGTAAATGGGAGTTTTACTGTTATTGTAAAAGTCTTTTACTGAAGATTCAATGAGATAAAGTGATGAGTTCACAGTTGAAATCGAAACGGAAGCTAATATTGTGTTCCAGCACAGTTGGACTTCTTATTGTTATGTGTAGAAATTTGTCACCAAAAAGGCTGATAAATTTTTGTCCTTTCATTTTTTCTTTCGCCCCTTTATCTTTCACTTTTTCATTTTGAAACATTCTTTCCTTCCTCTCTTCCTCAGTTCCTGTTCTTCCTTCTTTGGCTCCTTTCTTTATTTCCTGTTTCTTCTGTTACATCTGTGATGACTGTTGATGGACCTCAAAGCAGAGACAGATTATGAAAGCATGTCTTAAGAGTTTTTTTTACAAAAAGGTTGGAGAAGAGAGTGGTGGCAGGGAGCTGGTCCACTTGATAAGATGGAGTTAATCAGGAGTCCAAACAGGACAGAATTGTCAACCACAAACTGGCAGCATGGTGCTGAGACAACCATGCATTTCAAACAGAGGAATGATTAGCTGATGGAATGCAGGTGTCTCAAGGCTGGTTTATGCTCAGAAACAAGGTCATCTGCGCGTTTGTCACAGTTAACACAGATATGCCCCCACCCCTTCCACAGACATTCTAGTTCACCTCTCCAAAATTGTAGGTGACCGCAGACAGTGCCACAGACAGGAGCCCTCTAACTCGCCAAAAATACATCCGCTCTACAGTGTATATTTTCTGTTTGGTACCTTGGCTTGTTTTGTTTGTATGACCGCCATTGGGGAAAAAACGACTAGTGAAGATGGACTAGCTAGAAGAACGAGGTGCACGAGAACGCTGGGATCTTTTGCCACCTGGATCCCCGCTCTTTTTCGCCCTCATCTCCCTCCGTTGTCGCATAAAACTTGCCCCCTGCGTTTTCCGATTTCCTCACCGCCTCGGCCGTATCTAGACCCTCAGTTAGTTTGTGATTGTCCCTCATGCTTTGTGGCGTGGAATAGCATACTACGCTTCAAAATTGGGCATAAATCAGAAATATCTGCGTCATACCTGCGACAAGGTCACTGCGACACACTGCTGCGGGAGTATAACCTGCCCTTCAGTCCACAGCACCACAGTGCAACATGCCAAACCCCCTGCCAAAACACTGCTCTGCCGGAAAAAAAAGAGCAACAGATCCACAAACCAAACCACATCTTTATTAATTCTAAATGTTCCTCCTTGTATCCTTCCTTTTTTTTTGTTTGTTTTTTATTGCATTGAGTCTCCCTTCCTTTCCTCTATCTTGTTTTCCTTCTTCCTCAATGTGTAGGGGCTTTCCAGGTTCCACATTTAAAGCATGGAGCACTGCAGACATTTTTCATGAATTAAAAATTTTCCATAGTTCTAAAGTCTATAGACGATTTACCTCTCTAGGACGTTGAGTCTGGACACGAACTCATCTCATGCTACAGCATGCAGACACTTTGTCTGTCTTTCTCTACCTGAAAAAGCTGCTTTCTGATCATTTCAGCAACTTTTTATCGTAACCTGTATTTTTTCCTTCCAAGATGCTCAAATACCACTTAGCATGGGCCAAGGAAAAAAGACAAACTTATGTCACAACAAAATGTTAGTTTTTGCTTGTGCAACACTACCCAGTACCTCTTACACCATTCATCCCAATACACTCACACTATACAAAATAGAAGCACATCTTAGGGTGTTATGGTGTCAAGATACTGTTTGTTTCTACTCAAACAGAGAACTGTGTAAGGGCTTAAAACAAAATGGGTGTGATCAGTGTCTTCTGATGGACACCTCCTTGTTGTGAAGTTGTTTTACCTGCACAAATGGAAGTATAATATAGCTCTGATGGAAAATGGAAGTTAAGGACAATTTAATAAGTCTTCAAAATGTATTTATTAAATTTTTTTACCTTCTAGGTTCCAACTGCCAGCGTGACTATTGAGGGAGCCTCTGCTCTGAACCGGGTCCGTTGGTCGTCAGGAGGGAAGGAGGTGGCCGTGGGCGACTCAGAGGGTAGAGTTTGGATCTACGATACGGGAGAGGTGCGTGAAAGGTTCCGATGATTGCAGTTTGATTCATAGGGCTTCTGCTGTCCTGTTCTACTCTTGTTTACGCATGTTAATATTAATCTGAGAATAATAGTTTGATTCACTTTGACCCAATCAAGACCTAATTACAGCAAAGGCGCAAAAAGCATAAAGAAACCAAAATAATGGCAAAAAAATAAAACAGCTGCACCATATTAATACTAATGAACAAAAGCTGACAGAGTTTTTTGCTGTCTGTAATCTAATTATTGGTGTTAGTAAGAGAAATGGCAGGGATTTCTCACTCTAGCATTGTTGCTTAAAATAAATGATAAATTACTTATATTGGCGGCCTAGTGGTTAGGGCACAGGGCTTGGAATCCTGAGGTTGTAAGTCCGGAACCCACTCCCACCGACTGCCACTCTGGGTCTCTGAGCAAGACCCTTAACCCCCGATTGCTCCCTGGGGGCTGCACAGTGGCAGCCCACCGCTCCCTAAAGGGGATGGATTAAATGCAGAGTTAATTTCTCCGTTGTGAGATTAAAAAAAAGTTCAATTTCTATTATATGAAGATTTTAAAGATTGTTTTACGTTCCTTGAAAGTTTTACCGCCACAGAGCAGCCTAACTCTTTAGCTCCTGCATGTCCTTATTGCCTGAAGATTATTTTAGCCTAGCTGCTCGGCTAAGTTTAGCATTCTTTTTTGTGTGGTAAACTGGGGGGGAGTTTAGCAGAGCCGGTGGCCTCAGCACTGGCTTGATGGTAACGAAGAGGCATCAATAAAACTGAGTGAAGCTGAAAGGTTTTATGGGTCCTGTAAGCTGGGGGTTTGGTGTGTGTGTGTTTGTGTGTGTGTGTGTGTGTGTGTGTGTGTGTGTGTGTGTGTGGTAATGGGAGTATTTACTTTACTGTAAACTTGCCCATGGAGCTAAAACTGGGAAGAGAGTAAAAGAAAAAAAAAAAGTATCTCTGGGAATAACAGCAAGTCTGGAGACTTTTACAGGAAGGGAAAAAATACCAACAAATTTCCATTTCAGTTTCATTTTACTCTAAGCATTTTATTTTAAGCATATTTACCATCAGGGTTATCTATTAAAACTTTACAAGTGTTGCCCTGTGTGGAAAATCCGAGTCACTGGGTAAAACTCAGTCCCTGCTGTCCTGTAGAGCTCAGAGCCGTGAAACAGTTTCTGGATCTCTTGGTTTTGCAAACTAAAGCTTCGTTAAGCAAAAAACTCTCGTTGTCACGCTGCTGTTGCTGACGTCACTCATCAGCATTATGGACCCCCCTTCAGCTGTGGCCACATTTGTACAACCAAGCCATGCAAACGGCTTGCAGACATCTTGGGTGGTGGCTGCGGCTTTTGTCCCACCAAAGAGGCAAACTAGGCTCAGCTGGACCCTGTAGCCCATGTAAAGGATTTTTCATTTCAGACACTGGGGCTCCTGGGACTGTAGAACACAACAATATTATTGGATGTCTTTAAATTTGTGTTATTTTTGTTGACCCCTGCCCTTGCATTAATATTCAATTTTCACTCAAATGGAGGAATTGCTTTCTAAAAAAGTTAAAAAACAATCCACTGGACTTTGTTTCCAAGTTTGAAGACGTTTCACTTTCCATCCAGGAATCCAAAATGTCACCTCAATGTATATTGCGTTTTCACTCAGAATATGTCAAATATAATAAGTTACCCGTCTGTTTTATCTGTAGGGTGACATAAGTGATCAGATGCGCTTCATCTATTTTCTTTAAAGGTTTAATATAACTTTTTTTTCTTATTTTTTTGTTGTTGTTTTATAGTGTTTGCTTTGTTTTTTTTTTTTAAAGTCTGATTTCTTTTTGTCTTCTTTGGATACATCTTTACTGTTTTCCTTTGTAGTTAGATAATACTCTTTTTGTAAAAAAATTTAAAATGAGCTAATTATATTCTCACCTTTATAACCTTCTGTAGAGGCAAAAGCATAAAACTAGGTTTCAATTAATAATAATATGCTTAAAATTTTGTATTTACCTTCATTCAGAGTCTCTCTGTGTTTACATTTTTGCCTTTTATTTATTTCTTAGGCTATTTGTTAGCTTTTTTCCCCCCCACGATTTTGCTGAACGGCTCACAATCAAAACCAAACTGAGATGAAATTTGATTAGACTTTTTTTAAAGGTGTTGTTTTCACAGTCAGATCATCCATTTTCTCACCGTTGGAAACAGTGTGCAGCGACAGATGGACAGCATGGGAGCAGCACATCGAGCAAACAGGAGAAGCCTTTGAACTTTTATTAATGATGTTTTGTAATAATATCAGTGCTCATCTGCAGGATCAGTGCAAAGATTTTGGATGTGTTGCAAGGCAGGGAGAAACAAACACGTGTAGTTGCACTGAGCGCTGCAGCGTGTCACCTGCTGTGTCCATGTGGACGTTTTCCAGACCTTCTACCAGGTGGTCGGCTGGTTAAGCTCTGCAGCTATTCACACTGGACAGCATCAGTGAGAAAACTGGCATAAGCAGGATTTTTTTTTGTTTTTTTTTTATTATGGTTGTTATTGCCACATGTTAACAGAGAGACATATGCTAACATTAATACCAAGAGCTACACTAGAAATGTTGTTTGCATCATATAAATTAGCTTTGCTTGTTACAAAGAAACCAGGCTGTTTTTTCTCATATGAGTAATGCAGTAAGTAATGCATAAATGACATCTCACATAAATGACATCAGATTCCAAACCAACTTGGTCAAAATATGGTATATTTTTTGTTCCATTACAAATAGAAATCAGGCTTAATTACTATTTCATTGGTAAAGAATTCAGCTAAAACGGACCGCCTGAAGTAGACCTAAACACCTAAAAAGCAACACATCTTATGAAGAAATCCTGCTGACCAAAATGAAGACATCTATCACAGCTTTGGCACAATTCATCTTGATTTTCCACCTAAACACCTGTTAAAAATCATTTGTAGACTGATTAGAAAAAAAACAAAACAAATTCATGTTACTGAAACTACGGCTGAATGATATTGCCAAAATTATTCACAATATATATTTCTTAATTTTGGTTTATATATCATTCAAATATTGATATAAGCAACATTAAAGCCTCATAGAAAATGCCAAGTAAGCTCACAACAGACAGGAATTATCATCCAAAGTCCATGAATCTCCTCCAATATAACATTTTTGAAATTTAAACAATCTGCTCAAATTGTTCAGTCCACAGCTACTTGCAGTTACTTTTCAGTTTCTTTAAAATTGCCTCCTTCATTTTTTCATGATTGACTTCCAAATGTTCAAGAAGACAAACACACATAAGCCTGAAAGACTATATTTACAAATGACCATAATAAATTAGCAAAAAAGCTAAAAAGTAATAACTAGCCCTGAAAATAAAGAATGAAGGTCCCCAAGTTATTCACAAAATTCTAACTTTTGATGAGCACAAATTAAAGCTATGGCAGTGCTTTAAAATTAGTATTTCTTAAGATTTCTCCCCGTCTCTTACCTTGTTCTGTTTTTTTAAAGAAAGCCTTGGGTTTTTTTTGCTTTTTTCAATGGCACTGCAAATGTTAACACCAGCAATGTTTCTTTGTATTAACCACAGTTATTCCCATGTCACACCTTGACGATTTAGACCAGCCTAAGCCTCACATACAGAAAGTCTTGTAAAAACGCTGGCATATGTTGGATAAGTTATGGGTAGGTTTTGTATAAGGTATGAGCACACTGAAGCACGCTGAACCACGCTGGCACACGCTTGCACACGTCTTCATACGGCAAGTACATTGAGCAGGCTCAAAATTTCCTGACATATGCCACCATATGCCATATGTGGGCCATATGTTAAAGGTTAGTTATTTGATTGTCGACATACGTTAAATGTAAGTTACTAAAAAGTCGTGGTGTCTAGCTTATCCAAAACCTATGAGTAAATTGTGCATAACTGATGCGTAACTTCAAGAACTTATCTCCAACGCATATCCAATGTGCTCAAATCGCCTGGTCTAGGAACATCAGTCAGTACCCAACACTATAACTATAAACTGCACTGTATATTGAAATACTAAAAATGTTTTTGATGTCATGTCACTACTATTAAATAATTTCATATCACAAATATATATTGATATTGAATTGTTTTCCAGCCCTAATAACAACATGTTACTAAAGGGCATCATATTAATGGTTCAAAATGGCGGTGGTCTGGAAAACCTCCTCAAGATGGAACCAGGAATTCTGCTCTCAGCGAAAAAATATCTAGCCATCGTGTCTTAAGCTGAAGAGCGCTGGGGTTACGCAACAGGTCAATTATCTAAAGCACACCAGCAGCCCCACCTCTGAATGGCTTAACAAATCCATCCTGTACAGATAGGGCCAGGTTGGTTAAGATAGTTAAAACCAGGTGTTGATAACCTGAAACATCTAATTGTGACTCCTAATTAAAGCTCAAAAAGTAAAAAATAACCTTTGAGAGCATTCTAGATTGGTTTCATTTCAACTATGGAGAAGACTGGTAATTTGAGTTATCCAACAGACAGTCATGCTTTACGATCTACTCTGTCTGCACACAACAACCTTTTTCTCATAATAAGACTCTAAAATAGGAGAAATCTGTGGGGACGTCTTTTGAGAGCTACAGGTCATCAAGAACTTAGATATCAAGTTTTATCATCACTTTATCTTTACAGTGTAACTCTCCCAGCATTAAACTAACTCTTACACTTGTATCTTTACAGCTCTCCGTGGTCCACCCTGAAGACTGGACGCACTTTGCCCGCACGCTGGCAGAGATCCGCGCTAACCGAGCCGATGGTGAGGAGGAGGGCCCTATGGAGCTGGCTTCATAGAAAAGGACTCCAAAACCAGAAGTGACTGGAGAGCAGAGAGCTGGTGGAATTCAGTCGGCATCCCTGTAGCATGTGATCTTCACTCCGTTTTTCTTTTCTCCTCTTTCATGCACATCTTCATGTGTGCTCAGAGCAAAGCGGAGCTTTTATTTAAAACTCTTTGTAAGTGACCTCTATTTTTCTGTCTTTATTGACTGATTTATTTATTGACTTCAGGTGGTGTGTTGCTTGCATCTTGTGAGCCTACAGTATAGAGAGGCAGTATTATAGCCTTATGAAAATATGTGTACTGCAACAAAGCTTTGCACAGCTTTAACAATAAAGCCAGACTATAAAGTTTTGTCATGTACTGTTTACAAATATAACTATCAAATTTACATGCAGCTTTTTTTCCCCCTTGATTTAAATCTGCATGATAAACATGTCTAATGTTCTTTATTTCAGTCAGCTGTGATAAACTGTGACAAGAGTTTTACTGTAACTCAGAGCAATCGCTGTGAAACCTGCTATGTTTGCTAATAAAGCATAACTAACAAACCTCTGCTTTGCTTTTTATTAGCAGCTGTCATGATTCTGCACTTGTTGGTTCAGTTTTAGTTTTCTTTTTTATTCATATTTTTGGTGTTTTCTAGTTTTATTGGTCTAATTCCCATTTTGTGTTGTTTTCTGGATGTATTTGAGTTATGTATATCTAGGTTGCCCTCTGTTGCCTCCTTTTCCCTAGCTTTCCTTTGTCCACACCTGCTCCCAATCTGCTGAACACCTTCTGTTCAGTCACTGTTTGCTGGTTCCACGCCGTCATTTCTTTGCCCTTAATGTGAGTTTTCCCTGATGACTTTTGGTTTTTCTGTGTGTTGTTCTTTGTGGATTTTTGCTTGATTTGACACATTTTTGGATATTAAATTGCAAGTAACCACCTCAGCCTTCATCTCTGCATTTGGGTCCTTCAAACCTCCATCCAACCTGACAAGCAGCATCAAGCAAGAATTGATACAACCAGCTTACATTTAGCACCTGATCTTCAGAAGGTTTGCGTGTCTTAATACAAGGGCCTTTTTTTGGATTTGGTTTATACAGTCAACCAAAACAAAAAAGAAACTAGGGGTTAAATCGTGCACTTACCTGTCACAATTACAGTTACAAGCTCCTTTTTTACGTACAGTGGGCTGACAGGAAAGGGGGCACGAGAGAGGGGTAGACACATGTGGCAAAGGACCACAGGTCAAATTCGATCCCAGGTCGGCCACGTCAAAGACTTAAGGCCGTACATCGGTCGTGCACGCTAACCCCTGCGCTATTTAATCTTAATAATTGTTAGTTAAATGAATTTCTTTTACTATTGTTTGCAGCTCTTTTAGATAGTCTACCTTTGCACAGTCAGGAGGACATGCAATTGCTCAATTTGATAAGTGAAACCAAACCACTTGGGTTCACCCGCAAGTACTGCAAAAATAAAATTGTACGTGCAAGTTAGGGCCCTTCATCTAAAATATTTGACGTTTAGGCCCTCGATGTATAGGCCAGGATTTTTATTTTCTTTTACCATACATGTAGTTGTCCGAGGCTCTATTAAACATATTTCTACCTGTCAGATATTTCCACATTTTTGTGAAACTACATCAAAATCTTTGCTGTACTTTATGTTGTTTATGTTGTAGAACAACACAAAGGATGTGATTGTAAAATGGAAATCTACATGTATGCAGCACACCTTATGTAATACCCCATTATGCTTTGACTTGGACTGCAGACCTTCTGTTCAATAATTTTTCCGTTTGTATTTGCAAAATATTTCAGCCTGAATCTCTTAATCATTTTACTATAACTCAGATTATCTTTAGGATATCTTCTTTTATACAAGGTGAACCCCATTGCCTTTATTTAGCCCCACTCTCATTCCTATAAGCCTGCCTGCTATTCCTGCGAAAGAGAAGCATCTCCAAACCATGACAATGCAATCACCGATGAGTTTAACTTTTGTTATATTTGACCAGAACACCAAACCTTAAACAGGACTTCTTAGGACCAAGAGCTTTCTTCTTGCTACTCTTCCATAAATACCTGATTTGTACAGATTCCTCAACCTCAGATATCAATCTCTTCTTCTTTTCTTTACTTACTATTTCGCCTTTCTGGCTGCTTCTTTAGTTAATTATCTCCTTGTTTTTAGGCAACTTGGACAAAAACCTGTAAGGTGTTCAAAGCTTAGGAATATTATTTTATAACAAAACTGTGTTTCAGCAAGATATGCTGTGTTTCTGAGATGAAATTTGGAAATCCAAATCATGCATAATTTTCTATCATTGTCAGACAAATTCACTTGGTTACTACTGTTGAAGTTTGTGATTGATCTGTCACGCAAAATTGTAAAGTTTATAGGATAAAAATCCTTTTTTAAGCTTTAATTCTCAATTTCTGTCACATAGAAAATGTTGTGTTTTAGCTAGAGGTGCATGGTCAGTTCTGTGCAAAAGCCTTGAATCGCCTTTTGTTTCTTTATGCTTTTGTCCAAAGGAGCCAGATGTTGATGTAATCTGTTGAATTAATCTTCAAAGTGCTTTTTCTGGCTCTTATTTGATATTTCTTTGGACTTTGGCTGCTTTTGACTCCATTTTAGTTCTAGTTCAGATGGAATGCATGAGCAGACTTTTCTATACTACTTTGTGTTATGAACCGGTAGTCTGTCTATGAGAGTTTAGAAGCTCTCTGGACATTGTGCCGATAGGTGTCACTTTTAATTCAGTCACCCTAGTTTTTACAGAACAGAACATTTTGCAGCTTTTTGAAAGGAATTTCTACCAAAAGGGTTAATCCAAATCAGTTATATATATATATATATATATATATATATATATATATATATATATATATATATATATATATATATATATATATATATATATATATATATTTATATTTATTTTTATAATGGTATAAAAACATGAGTTGTTGGTGTTTCACAGCATGAGATGTTTCGGAGGTGCATGAGCAGCTTCCAATATAATAATAAGCTTCTGTTTGCATGGTGTAGCGTGCAAGATGGAGTCTGAACATGCTCTCTAAGTGCCAGCGAATGGAGCCAGGGCCAACCTGAACCCTATGATGAGGTCACGGTCATGAGGTTGCAGGCAGCCTTCGGGAAGAGCTTGGAATCAGACAGCTCTCTGCAGCATGAGGGAGATGAGGAGGAAGCCAAGAAGCAAACAGGGAGGAAAGTGAAAATTGTGAATAAGATCAAACTGGGAAACAGGACAGAGTGTGAACAGACGGCAGTTTTATTATCAACATTATTTTTGTTTGTCAGATTTAACCCTTGTCGCCCACATCGTAAACATCGCAGGATTCTTAAGTACCACATCATAACAGAAAATAAAAACAGTTTAACATTTCTGCCTGAGCGCAGAAATAAATCAAATGCCTCAGAGAGTTGAGATTTCACGCAGAGCTCTGAGATTTATTGTCAGCCCAGACTGGAGAGGAGAACATGAGGACTGTCTCCCCACCACACTGGACAGCAGTTGGACTGGCAGCTGGGTTTATGTGAAAGAAACGAGTGATCTGATGGATGCCGCTCAGCATTGGGAGCAGTTTAATAGGAGCATCTTGACTTGACCTAACTTTAAAGAAGAAAATTATTCCTGAAAGTGGCCTATTCGGAGAAAAGAAAATGTGCCTGTACTCTTCAGTTTGAGAAAATGGTCCCATATAGAGTAGAGACTGACACGGGAGTGGATTTTCACTCCTGTCCCGTCCCACTCCCACAGAAAAAAATGGTGTCCCGTCCCGATCCCGGGCCAGAGTAGAAATCTAAATCCAGTCCCGTCCCACTCCTGGTGAAATTACTCCCACTCCCATCCCGCTCCCATTCAGAATGACTCCCGCTCCTGCGACACTCCCATTCTTGTTGTTTTTGAGCGCGGGTGAAAAACTCAGAGCGGAAGTTACTATTGGTTTGCTCCCGCTCCCGTCTGCTCCCGTTAATGTTTAATCCTGTACCGTCCCAATCCCGTGATCGTTACTAATACTGACTCCCATCCCACGGGAATCCCACGGGAATCCCGTGACCCATGGGATTCCCGAAAAAATGTCAGTCTCTAATATAGAGCTCTGGGGGAGAGCTTTAGTTTAACAGCTAATGTGATCAGAAATTTATTTTTGGTTCTGTGGCATTAAAATCCATCTCTAGGCAGGAAGATGTGCTCTATCTGACGACAACAACAACAACCTGTGGGCAGTGGTTAACACTGCTGCCTTGAAGCAAGAAGGCTTCAGGTTCGATTCCCGGCCGGCAGTACTAGGTTGATTTAGTTAGGAAAAGTCAAAGGATAACTAAATTTTGTTTATTTTTTTCTGTAATTGTTGTTCATATGACAATTTAATACTAATAACTTTCTTCTCCTGCCAACAGAGACGCAGGAGAAACAGTAAGGGGGATTTATTGTGTTATAATTAACCTTTATACTGTATTGGTATGACCAGTTAGGATATGCATGATGAGTGTGGAAGGAAGAGCATGAAAGCATTACACAGAAATACCCCTAGTTGGGATTTAAACCTAAGACCATCCGTCCTTAATGATGCACCAATATGCACCCAAACTTTATTAGTTTCTTTGCATTTCTTAGCTGTATAAAAACTGTTCTGATTTCTAGTCCTTGCCAAAAGGTTCATCTCTTCTTACAGAAGCAGTCCACCATGCTGCTAGCAATGTTTCCCGGTCGAGATCCCACCAGGTTCTCTGTAGAGACCGCTGGGATGCCAACAACAAAACTCCAAGAGCTTTTCTTTGCGAATGTATGAATGTTTGATTCTAAATAGAGTTGAAATTGAAACTCTTCCAACACGAATAAGATGGTTTGTAGAGAGCGGCTATCAGCAATTGATTGAAGACGCACATAGGATGGTAACTGCATCCTGATCGAGTGCATTTTGTGCTCTTTGTTCCCCTTTTACCACGTCATGTTGAACCTTGACCATCCTGCGCTGAGGCTGCCACATGCACAGACTGTACACAACAAGGGGGCCAGTTCCTATCACTTCACCATCAACCAATCGAGGCCATTATTTAATCTCTACCTTTTTTTTGTTCTGCCTTTCCTCTCTCTCCCCCCTCACTCTTCTCAGAAGGCTCTAAAAGGACCCAGACAATGGATGGTAATGAGAGCAGTGCACACTGTGCCCCGCATGCTGGCGAAAGTGTGACTGTGAGGCCCCCACACCAGCCACTTCAGCCATGAATGGGCCCAATCATCGATTGCTCGGTCATTACCATCAACTGCCCTCTTCACGATTTAACTCCAACTTCTTGGTTTCCGCGACGACCAAACGAGCTATTCAGCAGCTCTGATCAACTCAGCGTTAGGTAGACTGACCACCTGCTCTGCTCCGAGGAGAGGAGAGCCGGTCCACTCCAAGTGCTTGGATACATTTCTGGGCCTTTTAATGGTAATGTGGCTGATGTGACTTGGAGAAGGCCAACACTATGTTCCTCACAGAGCAGATTAATGCCCAGCTAAATGTCGCTCCATAAACCAAGC